CAGTTGGGGGGTGGGTGGAGGTAGTGATGGTGGGGGGAGAGGGGGGTGATAGTGACAGTCGGTGGGGGGAGGCAGTAATGGTCCGGGGAGGCGTGGGGGGTGGAGAAGAAATAGTGATGGCGAGAGGGGGAGGGGAGATAAAGGTGGTGGAGGTGGTCAATGAACAAGAAACAAACCTCAATATGAGATTGCACCCTCGTTGAGAAAAGGTGAGGGGGTTGGGTTGGTACAGATACCGAATCACTAAAGCAGTGGCAATGGTTAAGATGACCATGCAAATGTAAAAACAAACACTGGCTTCATTGCCAGGTGGATAGAACTGAAATGTAGAAAAGTGGTGTTAAACATTGACAAGACCATATAGTGTATCATGAATAGCTTTGACCTTCGTCTTGTACTAAAAGCACATGGACACATTGAAGCGATGCAGAAATGATATATTAAAGAAGGAACGCGTGTTCATGTCACAAGATTGAACCATCTGCCACACATCTTTATTCTAAAGAGAAGGATGGAGGACCTCAGATTTCTGCAGGAGTTGGACAGGGCAGGACCTTACTGAGAACCAGAGTATTCAACCCTGAGAGTGGAGTCACGTTTTGTGGACCCCCTAACACCTTCTATCGGCACCAAAGAGTTGGACAACCTCAAATCACTGGGCAAGGCCCAACCACAGTGACTTCAGCAGGATCCAGTGACCGGAACAGAGTGAGCATCCACGACGCAGGATGGCCCCACCCACACACTCACAGGTGAAGTTGGCACATTCTATACGGTAGTACAGCATGCACTGACGATGCCCAGAGTGGCAGGCACAGGGGGGCAGAGGGTGAGGCAGACGGGAAAGGAGCTTCCTCCTCCTGCCTGTGGAGAGGCTGCTGAAGGCAACTGGAACCTGGATGGGGTGGCAGTGAAGGGAGGGGATGGATGGAAAATAGGCGCAGCCCCACCACCTGCCAACATGCCTCTGAACTCCCAGGCAGATGCCTCCCTGGGTGGCACAGTGACATGGGGAGGGCATGGCGAAGGAGCAACGGCAGGGAGGCACAACTGGGGACAGGTCATTTATACGAATGACACCAACCAGTCCTTTTTTTAATTCTCTCGTGGGACGTGGGTGTTGCTGGCTGGGCCCAGAATTTATTGCCCGTCCCTAGTTGCCCTTGAGAAGGTGGCAGTGAGCCGCCTTCTTGGAGTGCTGATGTCCATGTGCTGTAGGTTGACCCACAATGCCTTTAGGGAGGGAATTGCAGGATTTTGACACAGCGACAGTGAAGGAATGGCGATATATTTCTAAGTCAGGATGTTGATTGGCTTGGAGGGGAACTTGCAGGGGGTGGTATTCTCATATGTCTGCTGCCCTTGTCCTTCTCGATGGAAGTGGTCATGGATTTGGAAGGTGCTGTCTAAGCATCTTTGGCGAATTTCTGCAGTTCATTTGATATGATTTTAGCTGTGGTTCAGTTAGTAGCTTCAGGCGAGGTGGTATTATCACTGGACTGTTAATCCAGAGACTCGGATAATGTTATGATGAGCTGTGTTCGAATCTCACCACAGCAGGTGGTGGAATTTAAATTCAATAAATATCTGGAATCTAATGACGACCATGGATCCATTGTTGATTGTCGGGAAAAACCCATCTGGCTCACTATTGTCCTTTAGGGAAGGAAACTGCCATCCTTCCCTGCTCCAGCTACATGTGACTCCAGACCCACAGCAATGTGTGGTTGACTCTAATTGCCCTCTGGGCAATTAGGGATGGGCAATAAATGCTGCCTAGCCAGTGACACCCTCATCCCGTGAATGAATTTAAAAAAAAATTGCAGCTTCACATCCCATGAGCAAATCAGTTATCAGTCCAGGAGATGGACAGCGTGCTGTATGGCACCATCCAACCTCAATACTACACCTCCTGAAGCAAACACTCTACTCAGAATTTAGTTGTACAGGAGACTCAAGAGGACACTGGAAGCACTTTGAGGATGTTTCTTGTTCCCACTAAGTCCCCTGGCTTACAATCAACCAAAATGCAGCTGGTTCATTTGGGAAGCCACCAAATACAATGAAAAGCTTCGCGAGGACCACCGAGAGGTAACATCGAAACACTGGAGAAAATATGCAGCCTGCTAAACGACATTTAAGGGAAAGCTCAATAAATGTACAAGAGAGGTGTGCAAGTGGAGTTGAATGAAGAACAGAGGATTGTGTGAAAATGTGAATGCTGGCGTGGACCTGCTGGGCAAACATCCCGGTTCTGTCCCGTTAACGCCATGTCCTACTTCAGAATGGGCCTGCTTTCTATCAGCTGTTATACAAGAACATAAGAAATAGGAGCAGGAGTAGGCCATTTGCCCTGTCGAGCCTGTTCCGCCATTCAATAAGATCATGGCTGATCTTTATGTGGACTCAGCTCCATTTGCCTGCCCGCTCACCATAACCTTTAATTCCTTTCCTGTTCAAAAGTCGATCTTTGCCTTAAAAACATTCAACAAGGTAGCTTCAACTACTTCATTGGGCAGGGAATTCCACAGATTCACAACCGTTTGGGTGAAGAAGTTCCTCCTCAACTCAGTCCTAAATCTGTTCCCTCTTATTTTGAGGCTATGCCCCCAAGTTCCAGTTTCTGCCAGTGGAAACAACCTCCCTGCTTCTATCTTACCTATTCCCTTCATAATTTTATATGTTTCTATATGTTCTGGGCCACCTCAGCTTGCAACATGTCAAAAAAAGTCCACACCATTTCTCATTATTTAAAGATTCTGCATCCACTGCCTTTTGAGGAAGGGAATTCCAAAGACAACGCTCTGCACTGTTAGGCCAACATACCTCCCCAAAAAACATTTATAGATCATTCAACTCATTTGCTCTGTCTACATATAGTAATTACACTGGTAAAAAGAATAACATTGGATTAAGCTGTACCGAAGATACAAGAAAGTGCAAGAGAAACACATGCCCTCCCCACAAACCCCACTGTTACATCAAACGCCTCAGATGCTGAAAGTGCTACAACATCAAAACCAAACATTGCGACACTTCCTCCATTTATAGGATTTAAAAATTCCTCGTTCTCCATTCAGAGGTCAAAGTGCTCCTCACCTGACTAGCAGATACATTTTTGTCTTAGTTACCAGAAAAAAACCCTCACATTTCTATCATGCTATTCACTGCCTTTGTGTCTCAGAGTACTGTCAGTTATGTACTTGCAAAGAGCAGTCATTGTTTTACCAGAGGAAACACAGCAAGCTCCCACAACCGGCAGTGTGATAATTTGTGTTGCAATGTTCCTTGATGTATCATTATTGTTCAGGACTCTGGGGTAACTTCCCTCAGCTTCAGAATAGTACCATGGAATCATTTACATCCACTTGAGAGAATAACTGGGGTCTAGGTTTGGATGGCAACTCCAACAGTGTAGCACTCCATCAGTAGTGCACTGGAGTGTTGAGCCAGTTTTGTGCATTCAAGCCTCTGGACTGGAACTTGAACTCACACCCTTTGTACTTGGACATGAAGTGCTCCTGAAGGAACATACACACACCACGTTCAGACCTTGGCAGTCGTACCTTTGGTCACCTTCCCACATCCTTCTCCCAGTATCCAAAACATTTTTGAGAATTAAAATTCATTGAGATTTTCTAAACTTCATTTATGGGATGTAGGTGTCGCTGGCTAGACCAATATTAATTGCCCATCCCCAAATGTCCAGTCAGCCACACTGCTGTGGGTCTGGAGTCACATACAGGCCAGAACAGGTAAGAGATGCAGTTTCCTTCCCTAAAGGACATGAGTGAATCAGATGGGTTTTAAAACAACAATTTGACAGTGGTTACCTAGTCACCAATCAGCCAGCTTTTAATTTCAGATGTTTACTGAATTTAAATGTCACCGTCTGCTAAGGTGGAATTGAACCCACGAACCCACAACATTTAGTTCTGGATCTTGTGACATTACCACTACCCTGGTTTGAGACATGATATACTCAAAGCGTAACACCCAGAGGAGGGACAGGTGACTGCAGGCCACCTGCAGCAGCATGTGGTTTAGCTGGAACTTTGTCTTTTCTCACCTAGCACTTTTGGTGTTTTATTTAGCGTGCAAGTCGGTGTTTGTGGTTATCTATTTATATCCGGCAAGATGCTAGAACGAGTAGAGACATCTTCACTAATTGTAAACACTGCATCAATAAAGGCACATGCCTCCCTAATTCAGATACAGCTTATTAACCAGGTTTGATTCGCTGTCTTTATGTGAAAGCTCCAATTAATTGCACTTCATGGGTTGAAACATAATCTACCAAATTCAGACTTGGAAACCAGAAAATCAAATTTTTTTATGATTGTGACATCAAATATATAGAAGGTTACAAGTGCAGGATTCAGTACAACAGTTCTTGCTATTTGTGGTATATAGAAACGAGGAATTGAGACTGCTCTGTCATTCACTATGATCATGGCTAATCATCTAAATTAGTCCCCTGTGCCTACTTTTTCCCCATTCTCTTTGATGCCTTTAGCTTCAAGGGTTTCTATGAGAGCTTCCCTCATTCTTCTAAACCCCAGTGATATAATCAAGTTATTTAGACTTGCATGTAGGGGGCGTGATTAAGAAGTTTTCAGATGATGTCACGTGGTTGATATGGTGGAAGGAAGTTATAGACTTGGCTGCACTGGATTGCTGGACAGAAAAATAGTAAGTAGAATTCAATCTGCAGAAGTGTTTATCTATAATTTGTTCATGGGATGCGGGTATTGCTGGCTAGGTCAACATTTATTGCCCATTTCTTATTGGCCAGAGGGCAGTTAAGAGTCAGCCACATTGCTGTGGGTGTGGAGTCACCTGTACTCTAGACCAAGTGATGACAGCAGGCTTCCTTCCCTAAAAGGATCACTGGTGTTCTAGATGGTTAGTTAAGGACAATCAGCACTGGTCACACGTTTTTCCATCGGATCAGCTTTTGGATTACTGCAGTGAGACTTGAACTCAAACCCCCTCCATTAGGTTAGCGTTCTGGATACGTAGTCCAGTGACGCTACCACTTTGTCACTGCCCACACTCTTCCCCACCTATCTAGGGCAGCAGCGCATCTGGGTGCCAAAATAAGGCAAAAGGGAATACACAATAAATAACAGGATTGACAGGTGAGGTGGAATAGAGGGATCTTGACATGTATGTTCACAGATCCACGAGGGGCATGCAGGTCAAGGCAGAGTATGGGATACTCCCTTTTATAAGCCAGGGCCTAGAGTATAGAGCAGGGAGGACATGCTGGATGTGTATAAAACACTAGTTAGACTACAGTTACAGTACTACGTACAGTCCTTATCACGGTGTGATAGGAAGAAAACGATCACAGAGTGGGTACAGAAGACATTGAAGAGGACATTGCCAGAAGAGGAAAATTTCAAGTGAAGGAGGAAAGAATGGAAAGGCCTGGGGTTCTTTCCTTCGCAATAGAAACAGTGGGGAGATTTAATTCAGCTTACAACGTGACAAGGGTGGAAACCAATTTCTCTTGGCAAACTGTCAATAACCACACAGCAGAGAATATAAAGGTGTCGCGGGAAATGGAGGAGTAATCGTTTTCCATGCAAAGGGAGGGAGGATGAGGTAATCACTCCTTGAAAAGAGCAGTAGGTGCAATAACCCCCGCTGCATTTACTGACCCCTTGGATGTGCCCTTTAAGTGCTTCGATCTACAGGACCAAGAGTTGGATACTTGTGTTAGACACGGCAGGCCAATTTTCACCAAGGGCATAATAATGGGACAAATGGCCTCTTTCTGTACTGTAACCTTTTCCCATGAAACCAATATTTAATTATTTACCTTTTTTTTCCTATTCTGCACATAATCTATTGTAGAACAACAACTCCTTTGGGCAAATATTTTATCGTACAAATGTTTAGAGTTTTGAGACTGGATCATTGCTAAGATCCACCTTGGTTATGAGCTGCAGCAGAGTGTTTATTCCTGCCAAGCCATCGCAGTCTTTTGTGCAAAACATTGACAGTCCCAGGACCTATTAGCCCTGAACAAAGTCTAAAATACACTGGTGACTAAAGGAGGAGATCTCACCCAGCTCCACAGGCAGCAAGAAAATGCAAACACTCGTGTTAATTTTAACAAGTCAAAACATCAGCACTAACTCCACGCTAACTAATGATTTGGGACAACAACAGACCAGCTAATATAGACTGAAGATAGCCCGAGTCAATACAGATACATGATAGTCCTATCAAGTAACCTTGGTGTTAAAGCATTGCCCATCAAAATAGATTTGCTGATCGCATGAAGACAACTGGATATCCAAATACAGTATTTGTTATGCAGCAGCATTTATAGCAAGAGAAAGGTTTACTGCCACAATCCATGATGCAACTAATCACATCTCACAATTTAGGTGGAAAGAATCTGTCAGTTTAGGGATTGGGGATGGGCAATAAACGCTGCCTGGCCAGTGACGCCCTCATCCCGTGAATGAATAAAAAAAAAAATTCAGTTCTCTTATGCTGGTCAGTGCCAGTGCCCATTTACCATCCAACATTTATTGCACTTACTTACATCAGTGGGAGAAATAATATGGGACTAAGGTTTCAAAGCTGTGGTGGACTGGAAAGGGTCTTTAACGAAAGTGGACATGACCTCACCAAATGCAGAGGACTCATTTGAAACAAAAGAGCCAAGTTAAAAATAAAAGGAACCCCTCAGTATTTCACCACCTTGGTTCTGCCTGAGCATTTGCTCTGGTTGTGCTTACCTTGGCTCTAGCCTCCCTCGATGCTTCAGCCTCAGCTGCCATTGCTCTCTGCAGTTGGACAGGTAGCTTCACATCTTTGATCTCCACACGCTCAACCTTAATGCCCCATTCATCCGTTGCAACATCAAGTGTTGTCTGAGAAAATGAGTTACAAGAAAAAGTGAGTTTCCTGATACATAAGGTCCAAACCTTCACTCTCTCCACTGCTCCCCTCCAAACTTAGGGGGCAGAGCAAATAAAGTTGCATATTTTCAAAAACATTGCCATGTTCTTCCTGATTAGGCATGTCAAGGGAGAAGAAAAGAAGAATCATAAAATAAAATAACTCAACGTAACTGACTCCTTTTGAACGACAAATTACACACGAGGACCGCGTGTGAAGGATACTGAAAGAATCACGCATTCATTGACTGTAAACACAGAAGACAGTAGGAAAAAGCAAGATCTCCCCATCTAAAAGGTTAATGTTTGAGTGTAGTTCCTTGACCTAAACACAAGCCGAAGAATCTTGAGCTTTGGTCAATTTTCCTTAGTGCCAATTGCTGGCCGTGCTATTTATAAGTTTTGAAGGAAACAGAAATGATTGAAGACTTACAGATTGAAGAAAGACAACAGAAATAAAGGGAGGATAATTGCAGCTATGAATATCAATAAATGATGAAGCAATGGAAAACACAGCAGCTTATCTGGAGAATGCAACTGACCTAGCATTAAGATTCTGAAGGCTATTTGCACAATGCAAATGGCAGGCCCAATCTTGAAATATTCTAACCATAACCAATAAAGTCTTAACAGTTCAACGATCAGGATCAAATTGCATTACAAAACTTCTGAGAGTCATAATTTTCCGCTGCAGAAAGTACTTGTGTAGCTGCTCGATAGAAGCTCAAATCACATGGCTCTGTTCTTTCAGGAGCAGTGTCTCAGCTTTACAACAAATATGTTAATGACATGGATAAAGAGAGGGAGCGAGTGACAGACAGAGAGTTGGAATATGTGACACTGGATCTGCATCAAGTTAGATTGGGAACTGAAAACACCAAAAGACACAAACAGTGCGAGTGGGCAAAACTATGGCAGATGCAGTTCAATGTGATGGGTTACAAGGTGATTCATGCTGGATCAAAAGAGAGCCAAGAGATTTTTTTTGTGAAATGGTGGGAAGCTAGGTGCTGTGCAATGGGGTCTAGATGACCATCACTAAAAGCAAGTCCATTTATAGAAAAAGTCATTTAAAAACATGAAAAAAGAGGTTAGTGAAATACTGGCCTTTATCTCAAGGGTAAATACTGGCCTTTACCTCCTTGGAACTCGAAACCAAGGAAGTGGTGCTCCAATTGCACAGACCTCATGTGGAGCACTATATTACTCTATACATTCACAGGATGAGAGGGCATCACTAGCTAAGCCAGCATTTATTGCCCACCCCAGAGGGTAGTTAAGAGTCAACCACATTGCTGTGTGTCTGGAGTCAGATGTAGGCCAGACCAGGTAAGGATGGTAGTTTCCTTCCCTAAAGGGCATGAGTGAACCGGATGGGATTTTCCCAACAATCGACGAAGAATTTATGGGGAAAGTGTATCAAGTGATCTGCAGCAGTCTAATTGGTTCAAGTAAAGATATAAATAGTTTAACTGCAGTTTGAGTATAGATCTAAATATTAGAGCAAATTCAAGGGATTAAATGGATACTCCTATTCTGCTCCATTTATCATTGCCATCATTTTGTTGACCCCTTTCCTTATTGAAAATCTCTGAATATTCCAAATTTACATCAGTGAAAACATTCAATTCCTCCCTGACATATAAACAATGACCAGTCTCTCTCACAGTGGGGTATGATTGAAGCTGGTCACACATGAACGCACATCTCCAAAGGCAGGAGATAGGAGACAGTGCTCTAAACTCTAAATGTTCTGTAAATTACACGCAGGCAACTTTTTTGTGGTAGTGTTGGAGGGGGAGATGGATTGTGAACTGAAGACTTGTGAGATGAGTTTAACTAGTGAAGATGAACTTTAAAACAAAGGTTTGAAAATGTTTGGTCACAGCTGGGAACAAAATACACATTGAACCAATTCTTAAGCATCAAGCCAGCCTGTTCAATGTACAGATGTGTGCAAGCATGAGCCAATCCTCACATGATAAGTATTTACTTGTTTGGTACAATTGCATCTGCACTTTGGCACTGCTCAGTACTTGGAACTGATAACTGCCTTCAAGCACAATCAAGGACTAAATAATTAACAGGAGGCTCTGCTACACATTTAAGAAGCTGTCGGAAGGGGATTAAACTGTCCCCCCACCCATACTCCACCACGTTTACCCAAAAGAAATGCACAGAAATGAAACTAAATCTGCAAAAACATACGTGAGTAAGAAGTGGGACGTATTAAATGACGTTAGACGAAGAAAGGTGGAAAGGAGGCTTAAATGGAACATGAATAAGGCCAATTAGGTCAAACAGAATGTACAGGCACACAAAACACATGTGTAACATAAACAGCTGTTGACATTTCTAGGGCCATGAAAACATGCAGAGGATGCACTAAAGCTTGAGACAGTCACCACAAAGGCTTAGTGGAGATAGGTCACTCAGATTCTGGAAACTGCAAATCCTCCAAGGCTACATGTTTGACACAAAAATATGTCACAGTCCATAACTGTATGCGTAGTGAGGGACCTCAAGCTCCACATGGTTTTTATTTCAATAAAAAAAAGGGTCAGGCTTTGCACTTTGTGAAAGCTTGCGCAGCGTTATAAATATTTTTGGAGCAAGTCCCACTTTTTGGGGGAAAACGAAGGTGTAAGGAAAGGCATGAAGTTGAAGGTTATCTTGTGCGCACCTGCATGTTGTGTGCGATTTCCTCACGGTCTGACAGAATCTGAGACAGATTCTTTGTTCCAAGCACATTTCTTAACGTGGTCTGCGCCAACAGTCGGGTAGCAGAGTCTGCATTCGTGATGTTCGCAACAGCAAGGATTGCATTCTGAACACGGTAATAAACAACTCCATCAACGCTGATCGTCACAGAGTCCTTGGTGAGAATCTAGACACAAAGGATTTTTTTAAAAAAAAAAGCACATCAATAAAAGGTATTGGGAAGGGTGTGGAATCTGAAACACCAATGTACCCGGTATAAAACTGAACATTTAAAACATATTACCTCTTGAGGTGGAATGTCAAAGGAAATGGTTCTCATGTCTACTTTAACAAAGGAGTCAGTACAGGGCAAGACAAAAAATAGCCCTACAGTAAAAAGGAAAGGAAATAAATTAGAATAGTCATGGAAACACTGTCAATTAAATGTAATCCAAGTGCCATAATTACTGTAAGTTTCACTGCCTAGGACAGAAGTCCTGAAATTGCTCAAAAGGTGAACATTGTCAAACAATGGTGCATGTTAAAAACATTTTATTCAGATACGTTGCATACTTATTATGGTGACAACCCCTACATTCTTTTAAGAAAAGTACACAACTTAATGCTTGCATTTTAGTTCTAAACAGTTCTGGCAGCTGAGTATGCTCCCAGCGCCAACTGCACTCAACTATTTTTAAAAGCACTAGGAGTTTTCTCCTCCCCCAACACACACAAATACAACAGGGCTATGCAACAGACTGGCTCCGACATGTCACTTAATAGTTCGACAAAACAGCTCAGATAACAGGAGACTGCAGCTCAGACAGTGTGCTGCCCCAATGGGCAAGGTGTTACAGAGTGGGGTCTCCCAGACTCGATATTCAAATCGTCACCGGTTTCATATAAGAAATGTTGGTTTAATTGATAACTTTTTAAGTTACAAGTGCAAAAATATTTACCATTCCCCTTGGAGCAAAGGGGACTGAGGGAAGATCTGATAAAGGCGTACAGCATTGTGACAGGTTTAGATAAAAAGAACAGCTACACACTGCGCACTAGCTGATTGCATAAGGACTATAGAGCCCATATTTACAGAGATGAACGGGAGGATAATTTTATTCTGGACTGTAAAACAAAGACGTTAAGACAGAAAGAGCAGGAGCAGGTCAGTCAGCCTCTCGACTCTGCTCCTATTTTTGATAAGACCTCAATAATTCCCAAAAGGATTTGGAGGTGTACCTAAGGGCAATAAATGTGCAGGGCTACATGAGGGAATGGGACTGCCAGCTTGCTTTGCGGGATGCCAGAATACACTCAGTGGGCTGAGTGGCCTCATTCTGCATCATAAATTACGCTCGCTGTGAAATTTAAGTGCCTCTATGCACAAAGGGTCAGAACACTATTCCACAAACAGACAGCTGATGTTAGATCATTTGTATATTTTAAACCAGAGGTTGTCAGATTTCTGTTAACTAAAATGATTAAGAGTTAAGGAGCAAGGGCAGACAGATGAAGTCAGGCCAAAGGTCAGATAGGATTTCACTGAATGACCTGCTTGCCCCAGATCCACTTCCATTCTGGAAGTTACTACTGAATCTCCTTTCACCAACCCTCCCCCCAGACAGGACAGCGTTCATTACACAGCTTTCTAAAATCACCTTATTCTCTCTCTTTCTCCCCTGCTCCCTCTCCCCCAAAGTAATAACATGGTTGTTTGCAACTGGTCATGATCTTAAAGGACATCTTATTCCATTTATCTACCTTTAGATACTTCAAATGTGTCTCATGTTTGAAAAGCAACGAGCCTGGAGGCAAATACTTGGCTTGATATATTCAGCATGTTCCTTCTTGCTCAATTTCAAGTGCACATCCTTTATTTACATAGTCCTCAGAGTCCTCTAGGCAGTGCTTTTACTTAGATAACAGTTGTGTGTGTGTGTGAGTGAGAGAGACAGAGTGAGAGAGAGAGAAAGAGCACATGAGTGTATGAGTTTGTGTATGTATGTTAGAGTGAGAGTGTGGTAGAGGTAGAGAGATTGAACAAGAAAGGCTGAAGCCTCACATGTCCCCTTGCCTCGTAGCTTGTCCCTTATGGTTGATGAAGGAAGGGAAAGAAAGAGGTACGTCTAGTTTGAATTGTTTGTTCATTTTCACCATGGCCTCTTGTGGTTGTTGGCATCACGTTGCTGTGTTAGTCAGAATAAAGGCCGTAAAAAGGATATATCCCCCTCCATGATAAACAGGACATGATGCTCCTACACACAAGTTATCCGATGGAAGGGAATATTTCCCATTCAAATGGAGGGGTGCCTATGAGATCAGAATCTCTGACATCTTACTCCCATAGTTCAGAGCCTTCTCCAAACTACAAGGCAGAGTCACCTTGTCATTCCTGCATCGCCCAATACATCCCACACATCCATCCCAAAGTGAAAGACTCAGTGAAAATTCCTCCCTTTTACTTTTGGCTTAAGAGTCAAATCCACGCTGACCTGACAAAGACAGTGAGGTGGGAGGAAGATGGTGAACAGAACAAAGTTTCTGTTTTAGTTTCACAAGCACAAAGAAGTCAGGACAATGCTGTCTTAAAACGAGGAACTGGGAAAGACGAAAGCTGCTAAAAACAAAGGCATCCAGCGATTTGAAAGTGGTGTGATAGAATGGTTTCTTGGCTTCACTGCACACTTTCTGACGAGAATTCATTCTCGACAGTTGCTTGAAAAGGCAAAAGGATTTGAAAGTCTGGATGTTCACTGAAGATGGAGCAGAACACGGTCTTGCTAAGTCCGGATAATTCAGGAATAGAATCTGGATACAGCTTGTTTGCATCATGAAGTTTTCTAAAGGGAATTCATCCACCTACACTAATCTGATTAGGGTCCATTTAACAAGCCCCAATGAACTTAGTCTAATCGTGTCATGACAGGCAACTGGGATCAGAAAATTAGCCAATCTCTTCCAGTTCTCCTGGTGTCCTTTTCATCTCCTCAGCCTCAGTGCAGGGGTCAGTCCAACTTTCAACACACATTTACTCCTCTCCCTTAACATTCAGCCCACAATGGGTTAACCAAGAATGGGTTAAAAAGGTGTATATTGTACCCTGCAGAGAGAGATATCAATGACAACCTGGGCTAGCTCCCAGAAGGCACTCACAGCAGTGAGTCAAATCAGGGATACTGTACAATCTGATACAGTTTAAAACAAAACAAGAAAAAATAAAGATAACAAGGTGTAGAGCTGGATGAACACAGCAGGCCAAGCAGCATCAGAAGAGCAGGAAAGCTGACATTTTGGGCCTAGACCCTTCTTCAGAAATGGGCCCATCTCTTGGCCTGCTGTGTTCATCCAGCTCTACACCTTGTTATCTCAGATTCTCCAGCATCTGCAGTTCCTACTATCTAAGAAAAAACAAACTCTCTCTCTAGCTTTCATGCCACATGAGTACTATGTACAGTGGGTCCACCTGCTCCATGAGAGACAGAGAGTAGAAAAACTCCACGAGAGGCTTAGCTGTCCAAGATTATTGCAATATTCTAATAGTGACACCTTGTTCTATCAATAATATTTACAAAACAGGCTCAGTTCAGAACAACGATTAAAGCTGCCTTTTCACAGCCAAAACTGACTTGGAGCCAAGGACAGACTGAATCTCTGAGGGTGACAAGTTTTAGAGGGGCGTAGTTTTAAAGTAGGGAGCAGGTTGAGAGGGGGATTTGAGGAAACATTTTTTTCACCCAGATGGTGGGGGCTATCTGGAACTGTCATGTAGAGGCAGGAACTGTCAAGACATTTCAGAATTATTTGGATGAGGGCTTGAAACATGCAGAATGCAGGGGTACGGTCCAAATGCTGGAAAATGGGATCAAAATGGACAGCTGCTCGATGACTGGCACAGACACAACGGGCCGAAGGGTCTTTTTGCATATTGTGAAAAACTGACTCTTGTGTTACTAACCATCAGGAATGCATATCCATTTACAACAAAGCCTGGTGATAAAAGCATCCCTTCTCAGTTAGAAAGACATCACTCGGGACCATTCAGCCACCCATTGGGTCTGCACCAGTTTGTTCATTCCCACCCCTCAGCTTTATCCACATAGTTCTGCAAATTGGATTTGTTTAGGAGTCCATCGAAATTCGTCTAGAAATCATTGCTGCCCGCACTGTCACCATTCTCACAGGCAGCGGCTTCCAGGTCATTATCACTGCCTTCTCACCAACCTTGCCTCAAATCGCCATTAAAATGTTTTAACCTCCACAGAACGGAGTGATTTGGCAATGGACTATTAGCAACGCAGCCTCTGGGTGCAGCTGGCAAACCCAAGCAGATTAGCACACTTGGGCTTCTGCTTCATCAACAGTACAACATTTGAATTGAGGGAATCTCAGATAAATGCTCGATAGTACAACGTTATTGCATAGGAATTGAAAGAACTGTGGATGCTGGAAATTGGAAACAAAAGCAGAAATTGCATGAAAGGTTCAGCAGGTCTGGCAACATCCGTGAAGAGTTAACGTTTCGGTTCCGATTTCTCTCCACAGATGCTGCCAGACCTGCTGTGCCTTTCAAACATATCGATTAAGGACGACACGTTTACTAACAAATGGTCTGCGCTGCAATCCCAAAAGGCTACTGTAATTCTCTCAAGAACAACAACTTGGGTGTGGTGAGATGGACCCTCTGCAAACAAGACATTTGTTAGATCTCAGCTGGAGTATCGTATACAGTGTGGGTGCCTCATTATACGAAGGATGTGGATGCATAGGAGAGAGAGTTCAGATGTGATTTACGAGCACGGTTCCCAGAATGAGTTACTTCAGTCATGAGGACAGACTGAAGACTTTGGGACCATTTTCCTTAGAGAGAAGGTAGCTAAGACGAGATGCGATAGATCAAAATTATAAGCAGGCTGGATAAAAGAAAGAGAGACCATGGGTGAACAAATCAAGGTGATGTGAGAAAAGTCATTCACACAGTGAGTAGTTAAGGTCTGGAATACACTGCTTCGAAATGCAGTAAAGGCAGGTTCAATTGAGGCATCAAATAGGGTACAGAATGATTATTCAGCTCCATAGTGACTCAGTGGTTAGCACTGCTGCCTCACAGCGCCAGGGACCTGGGTTCGATTCCACCCTCCGGCAACTGTCGTGTGGAGTTTGCACATTCTCCCCATGTCCGTGTGGGTTTCCTCCCAAAAGCCAAAGATGTGCCATAGGTGGATTGGCTATGCTAAATTGTCCCATATTGTCCAGGATGCGTAGCTTAGGTGGGTTAAGCATGGGAAATGCAGGGTTATAGTGTAGGGGTGTGGTCTGGGTGGGATGCTCTTCGGAGGGTCAGTATGAACTCGATGGGCCAAATAGCCTGTGTCCATGGCATAGGGATT